TTCTATCAATTTTACCAAAACAGCTTTGAAATAAAATAGTTACTTGTCCCCTTATCTTATCTCCCAAGGTGACTTTTTACCACCCCTGCAAAGGCGAAGTCATCCTCACTGCCATGCCCATTACACTGTTTGACAACCAAACATGTTTGACCCATAATACAATTTCTTATGGTAAATAAGATGAAGTATCCATTTTACCGAGCTAAATCAACGATTTACACATCACTGCCGACCACTGATGAGCTCTGGTCTGAGCTCAGGTCTGTACACTCTTGTCACCACGTGTTACTGAAACCTGATATTCTGTAGCGATCTGCAATGGATTCATGGAGAAATGTTTCTTGGAAATATCCTACGGTAATGTCTTTGTCGGTGAGACTCAAATACAATCAATGGACTGCAGGACAAAGCATAAATTCAAAAATTCAGGACAGGGCCTAACAGCTCCTCTGTCTCCTGCTTACTGAAAGCATCAGGATAACTGTCCTGTCACCTATCCAGTTTGGACTACTGAATGTCAGGTCAATCATAAATAAGACCTTCATACTGAAATTGAGTCTTTTGTTCAACCGAGAACTGGGTACTGAATTTTAGACCGATCTCTTGGGAGAAGTATAGATGTTATACTTCCGGGACCGGGCTTTCTCAGTCCTAGCACCGTCACTCTGGAACCAGTTGCCACCCTCAGTTAGGCTGTCCCCTTCTCTGCCAGCCTTTAAAGAGCAAGTTACCCCCTACAATAAACTTACTTCACTCCCACTTCATGTTTGAAAAATGCAACAAATGCTGTTGCTTGGCAGACCGAGAAGGCGGAGCTGCTAACAAATACACACACACACAGGCTCACAATGGCATTATGACATCATAATATACCAGATGACATCATAGCATACCTCTTAGCCAATAGCGGTGGCAGATTTAAATTCAAATACAGTGCAGAATTTTTCCCTGACGACGGCGCAACACTGACAGTTTTAGGCAGAATATTTGAATTTTAACCAAGATGCACTGAACTGCCAAATTATTGACTACACGTGTCTGTAGCATGATTAGACACTCCTTTATATAGTTTATCAGCAAAAAAAATGTGATTTTGGGGTGACTTGCTCTTTAAGAATCACCTAAAAACACACCTCCTCCGCTTGGCGTTTCCAGAACATGTTTGATTTTGGCCTTCTTTTACGTTGAATCCAATCCACAGTTTTCATTGGTACACTCAATCCAAATGTGCTTCACACATTTGTCCTTCACCAGAATGTTTCATCTATCTTGTAATTTCCATTTTGTATTTTGTAATTTGTATTTTGTAATTTGAATTTCTTTTATTGTTGTTTTATTCAATATATTTACATACAACTGTACAATGTTCAGCGCTTTGGGCTTCCTGACAGGGTTGCGGAAGGCGCTTTATAAATAAAGCTTTGATTGATTGATTGATTGATTGGTTAATTTCCAGCATGCTGCCTGTGGTTGGCAAACCAGTGTCTGTCACCAGCCCCCCAGGTACAACCTGGAGTCAAGGAGTGGGTGAGTGTTTTCAGTAGCGGGTCCTCGACTGTAGAGTGCCTAGCTGTTGGATGTCGGAGAAGTCCCTTCTCTTTTGCTTTTTAAACCGAGACTTAAGACACACTTTTCTCTGGCTTTCAACTACCAACTGCCATTAAACTGTGTTGCTTCGATGGGAATACACTTAAAGGTCCTAGTGCAATCAACCCATAGTGTAAACAAAGAGTGTTGAGGAGAGAAAATGGGTGTTTTTGAGTCTGTGCCACAAATTGACAAAATGATGAAGCTAACCCGCCTCGTCCATTCAGAAGTATCGATACACACCGCTACGAGGAGGAGAAAAGTGCGTAGAAAATAGAAAAGGAAACAACATAAATGTTCCTAATCTGGATTAATCTGGGCATGGTATAGCAAATCTGTTAATTGTAATATCAACCACAGTTTTCATTTGACTGGAGTTAGATGTGAGCGTCTGGTGAAAGGAGTGATAAGCTAATCGAATCAATGTGGCTCCAGAGAGGTCCGATGGGTTAACCACAAAGCACTGGTGTGTTACCACGCCTAATTAAATACTAAATCCCTATTGGCTTAAATCCTCAGTGACAGCAAACACACCAAGGTGGATGGGATTGTGGCTTAAGTAAACTAAGGTCCAATTACGGAGCAGTTGAGCACTTCCAGGTCATGATCCAGGTGTTGTTTAAGTGCAGGATATCTGACTGCTAGGATTCTTACCACTCATACGCCGGTACGGCTGTTTTATAATAATAAAAATGTCAGATAAAGGAATTAAAATGTTAGTGGTTTCATTTGATATGGGGAATTATATGAAAACAGCTCAGAAACATTTATAAAAAACACACCAAAGTGTTCAAAACAGGGGAGCTGGAGGTGAGTAAAGTTTCTTTTTTGTAAGTGGAAAATCTAATAAATATATTACACATTAATGTTTCACTGCAGCGCGTGTCGTCGCCAGCGTGCTAAAGTGTGTTGTTATCAAGACACGTCATTCGTGACTCTATTTTAACTTGAGTCAAAAAGTTATTAAAACTCACTTTTGGAAATTCTAAATTTACGATTATTCAACTATTTCATTTGTGAAAATCTTTGTTTGTAATTTCCTGGTGTAAAAAGTTACTTTTAAAGCTCCAACATAACCTTGTGTGCAGACAGAAAGTACTTAACTCGACGTGCAAGCATCTGTGCTGACTGCACAGTTGTCAGGACGACAGTCTTTTAAAGCGGACTTTCTGTGTGTGTGTGTGTGTGTGTGTGTGTGTGTGCGCTTTTGCCCTAGCACAAATCCTGAAGGTGAAGTCAACCATGAGCACAACACATTCAGCCAAAGACAATTATATGCATATTTTTCTTGCAATTAAGTAAAACAGACAGCAAACATTTAAAGATCTTGCAGGAGTAGGTATGGCAAGCACCTTAGGGAGCCTACTCCCAGCTGTAGTCCGTGAGGCAGACACTTTGTCTACTTTTAAGAATAGGCTTAAAACATTTTTATTTGATAGGGCCTATGGTTAAAACCTGATGTTAGCCTAGATCTGGACAAGTGGGGGAGTAGAGGGAGGTGGAGTGTACAGTCGGTAAAGACGGCTCTCCCTTGCCCTGACTCCAACATGCCTCCATCTAAATAGGATAGATTATCCAGAGTTATCTCTGTAGTTATGCTGCTATAGGCTTAGACTGCTGGAGGATACACTGACCACTTCTCACACTCTACTGCTTTCTTCTACAGTCTGCTCTTTAACTGTACTATTTTGTCCAATTTCAGCTGTCAACTTTATTTTCTCTCTAAGTGTTTTTCTCCCCAGAAGAAGCTACAATGATGTTCTGCTGAGCTGTGGTGGCCTCATGGAGGGGGCCATCGTCTAGCACACTGCTGCTAACACTAAAACATTCTCCCTCTCCTGATAATGACTTTTTGGTTTCCTTGACTTTTGATGTGCTACTACTAGTTTATCCGTTTAATTATAGATCCACTAGGATAAATACAATAAAGTTTATCTTTCACCAAATAGAATATTCACTAAGACATCACAATATAACTGTAGACACATTACTTGTGTGTGTGTGTGTGTGTGTGTGTGTGTGTGTGTCTGCTCTGTCTTCTCGATCCCCAGTGAATCGTGGAGGATGGCTGCTTATACTGAGCCAGGATTCTCTGGAGGTTTCTTCCTGTTAAAAGGGAGTTTTCCTCTCCACTGTCGCTTTATGCTTGCTTGGTATGAGGATTGCTGTATAGTCACTGACACTAGTCAGTGACTTGATGCAATTTGCTGGGTTCCTTATATAGGAAACATTATTTCTGATTGGCTTAATGAACTGACCTGAATTGGAATGTTTATTATGTTAAGTGCCTTGAGACGACTCTTGTCGTGATTTGGCGCTTTATAAATAAACTTGAATTGAATTGAATTACTGAGGCTTTATTCTTATTCTCAAAGGATCCAGACACAACTGGGGAAGTATAAAAGTAGCTGCTTCTCTAACAAAGTATCTCAGAATGTAAATCAGACATTTTAGAGGTCAGTGTGTGTGTCTACGTGTCTCTCCAGAATTATGAGATCCTCTTAGGCGTTCAACTTCTGTTCTGTTTAAGGCAGCAGAATCAAGTGTTTTGGGCACTTTGATGGTGATGATGTGCTTTAGAGAATATAAAGCAGATCTTAAAATCACAATGTCCCAAACCGCGAGAGCTCTAGTAACTCCCAAATTCCACTGCCTCCGCTCCGCTCTGACACGAATGCCGGAGCAAAATCGGTCCCGTTGTAGTCAATCAGAGCTATTCCACTACTGCGGCTGTGTTCCGGCGTCCGGCAAAAATAGAATCGATCCTATTTTTGCCGGACGCCGGAGCACCTCCGCAGTAAATGGACAGAAATCACAACGGCCCAACAGGAAAAGGAGCAAGCACAATTTCCGTTTTTCACAATAAATCGATAAACAAAAGGCGTTTTTTGTTTCATATGCACAGGTTTAACAACTTTTAACAACTATCAATGGCGGCTGAAGTTTAAATGCACAAAAATAAGCCATAAATACAGTTTCTACTGTCAAAGTAGTCACACTTTGTTGATCCAAACACTGCTGATCTCTCAACACAAATGATGGGCAGATTAAACAGTTCATGCCGATGCTTCTCCCACACAACGGGTGTTTGGATCTAACTTCCGTGTTTATTGCTCGGACTGTATCGCAAGATCTCGAAAATCCCGCGCATGCTTGTTTGCCCACCTCAGGTCTCCGCACCGGAGCGGAGCCGTTGTAGAGCGGGTACCAGTAAAAATTGAGTTCGGAAGCGAGCGGCTGTGGAAGGCGGGGGCGGAGCGGAGCGGAGGTAGTGGAATTTGGGGGTAAGTCGTGTCGTAGAGAGCTGGCTTACAGCCTCAAAACCTGCAGTAGTGGCTGGTTATCACTTCCTGAATGGACCTGGATCTGTGTGGGCAGGTGGGATTGACACAGAGCTGATTATGAGCACAGACCTCAGTAATGCGTGGGTTGGTACACTTCACGCTCTTGCTGGACAGGTTCAGCCAGCGAGTGGTGTAAGGGTTGATGAGAGGGCAGTGGTGCCGCAGGGTACACCTCCCCTCTCCGCTGCACCAGCCACACTGGAACTTCCTGTCTGCCTTCAGACACATGCCACAGCTGTCCCGCTGGGCTGCGCACTTGTACAGGTGCACTGTGGGATAAAAGGTGAACACAGAGCAAATGAGTGGCTTTACATACGGATTTTTGACAGCAAGTCTGCTGTGAGTGAAATAATATTTATGGTTCTTTAATACAAGATACTCTTTCCATAAAAACACATCTACACACACTTTATTGAGCTATACTTGGATATAATACTCCCACAGAAAATGAGACCCCTCAAGAAATGTTCGTGGACCTGTCCATTTTCATCCTTTGTTCTTACCTTGTATGTTCTCTGGGTTATCAATAATGAAGTTACCGTTCCACACCACTGAGAAATCCACGGGCAGCTCACTGATCCTCATTCCCTCGTACAGATACTGAAGGCCAAAGGCAGCGAGGCACAGACAGGAAAAGGATAAGGGGGGATTGAAGCGGAAAAGAGACAAAACAGAGGAGGATTTCAGCGGAAGGTTTGGGGGATTTAATCCTTGTGAGTCCTGGTACAGTAGCTGCGGCAACACGTTCCTCCTATGTTGCGCCAAACTTACATCATCTCAATATCTGAGCTGACGCAGTGAAAAACCACAAGAAATTCCCTTTTGGTTTTTATAGGAACGATCTTAAATGACATCCTATGTCCCTAATTCCAGTTTGGCTTATGTTTACTCTGTGTATGTGTTGGTAGCTTCTCTGGGAGGAAAACAGAAGACAGCGTGTGCTTGACTAGAGGGTTGAGTCCTGCTGCAGTCCTCTCCCTTGTAATGATCTAGATTGCATATACTCTACATCAGGGTTGCCCAATCCTGCTCCTCGAGGGCCGGTATCCAGCGTGTTTTAGTTTTAATTCAGCTTAAACACACCTGATTTCAATCAGCAGGTGATTAACAGGCTTCTGCAGAGCCTGATGAGATGCTGCATAGGTGATTCAACCAGTTAATCAAGTGTGCTGGAGCAGAAAACCCACAAAACCTGCTGGACACCGGCCCTCCAGGACCAGGAATGGGCACCCCTGCTCTATATCCACTGACTAAGTCACACACACACACACACACACACACACACACACACACACACACACACACACACACACACACACACACACACACACACACACACACACACACACGCACACACACACACATGCACGCACACACACACACACGCACAGGCACGTGCACGCACACACACACACACACACGCACGCACACACACACACACACACGCACAGGCACGTGCACACACACACACACGCACAGGCACGTGCACGCACACACACACACACGCACGCACGCACGCACACACACACACGCACACGCACACACACACGCACACACACACACACACACACACACACACACACACACACACACACACACACACACACACACACACACTATAAGCAAGAGTGTGAGCCTCATATAACTGGTCCACTCAACGCTGCACAAGGTGCCAGGGTCTGAAAGACGCCTGTTCACCCCTCCACTGCTGAAACCGAGAATCAACCATTATTCTGCCTAAAGTTGCAGTGTGAGCAAAGTGATAAATTGATTAATTAGCATTAATAAACAAAGAAAGCGTAAGACTCTTTATTATGACTAGATTGTGTGAGAATTCCCTCTTCTGGAGCTGCAGGTGTTAGATGTTGTGGTTTCTTCCAGACTTGCTGTCGGCTAATACTTGGCATTATACAACAGTATAACATGTAACACTGTACAACATGATACTATTCAATATAATGCTACGGCATGCAATGCAACAAGATGTAAAGTAATGAAATGCAATGTGACAAAATAAAACACAATCTGATGCAACACTATACAATAAAACAACGTGATAAAACGCTGTGATAAACATGCAAACACGGTGAAAGGTTCAGGTGCAAAAGCAGCAATGCAAACAAGTTCTGTGTACCGTTGGCATACAATTAAACACACTCATTCCCAAACTCAAATCAAACACTTCAACTAGCCAATTAAACGGTGTTTGGCTGTGCCTAGGCTATTGTTACCCAAACTCACTGAGCTGTTCTGGCACTGGACGCTGGAGCTGTTGAAGCGGAGGGCAGTGACTCGATGGCTGACGCCCTGGATGTGAAGGACACATTCATAACCTCGCTGGCCAGACTGGGGCTGTGGCAGGTTCTTGGCCTTTAGAGTTATTGGCTTCACTTCCCCTGCTGGGATCAGAATCTCCTCCGAGGGCACCAGCTGGGGACAGTCCTGACGGGGAGCAAGAGCAAGTGTCCAGAAACAGAAACATGAAAATGCATGGTTCTATAAAGCACAGCAAGGAGACACCGCTGTGAGAGACAGGAATACAAATATGAGAAAGAAGTGAGACATGCAATAAGAGCAGCTGAAGTGATAGTGGGCTAAAATCAAACATCTTCATTGCCAGGACCACAGGAAGCTAACACGGACTTAGGCGTGTGTCAAGCTGCTTCAAACTCCCATGATTGACACGGTCGGAGTAATCTTGTGACATTGTTAAGACTTGCTAAGCTCAATAACTCCAGGGATGATAGACTGTTAATTGCTGCTGCAAAGAACAAGAGCCTCGACTGAGAAGCAGCATTTTGAAAATAGAAGATCTTCCACAGCCGTCTTTCTAAAGACATGCCCCAAGCTGCAACACAGAGCAAGAAGCACGCAGGAGGAAACAAGTGTGTGCCTGTGTGTGTGTGTGTATGAGAGAGACAGACAGAGGAAAACACAGGCTTTCATTAAGTGTGTGAGTGTGTGTTCCACCTCAGAGGTGTTGACTCGCCCCTCCTGGAAGGAGCAGCTGGAGGGGTCATGGGTACACAAGTTGCGGTATTTGCACCAATGGCAACGGAAGGCACTGTTCACACATGAAAGACACCTGCAAGATATAAACACATAAACACACATGGGTGAGTGGTCAAGGAGGGGCAACATATGTGCCAAAAGGTGTGTGTGTGTGTGTGTGTGTGTGTGTGTGTGTGTGTGTGTGGGGGGGGTCCTGCTGTCGATTTGCCCTTGTGCCTGGCCCAAACCCCAAAAGCTGCTGGACCGTCTCACCCCGGCATAAATTTTCTGCTCCCATACATTAATTATGAACATCATGTGTGAAGAGGGGGTTCAGTGAGAGCCAGGAGCGTGGGTAACCGCAACCGAAGTGAGGAACAGAGACGGAGTGACAGAAGTTTGAATAATTAGGACAAATAAAACACTGGCACAGCTTGATCCTGCTATTACCATTAGCTCTGGGTTGTTGGAGCGGCGCAGCAATTACCAGATGTTAAAGCATATGCATGCTGACATGTCAGCTTTCAGTATGCACTAAGATGCATGCTTGGATTAGACTTGTACAGGAAGAGGCCAAAACTACGTTTGGATCCTTTGCCGGGGTTTCATTAAAATACCGGAGAATAAGCACTCCATGACTAATCCCAAATTCCACTAAGGAGGAGTTTTCGTGCAGCAGACGTTGCTTCAAGCAGTAACTCGTGTTAATCAAAAGTTTTAACATATTAAAACAGTCACTAGTCCTGCTTCAGAGGGGGGTGGGGGGTAAAACAGCACAGCAGGGGTAGAAAACGGCACAGTGCAGATGAACTCTGGCTTAAGCGCAGGCTAGTTATTGTGTTAGAATAATGAGCAAACCCAGTTCAGCTTGCCGTCTGTTACAGTCAACATCTGTGTTCGACAGGGAAGCCAGAATCCAGCAGAACAGTTTTACTAACACGTAGAAGAGTTTTACTCTTCCGCTTTGAAAAAGTACACAGTAGAAACTTCGAGAAGTTCGCCCCTGACGATAATGCGCCAGGAGGAGCTGAGGCTGTTTGGTGCTTTGTCTTTAGAGCGTTTTATGTTTTAATGAAGTTCCAGTTTGCTTCTCCACATCATCTCACCTACCTCGAGTTAGTTCATCAGCCCTGACTCAGTGTAGGTGGGGTTAAAACCACCAAATGGTTCTGGAGTGCGGCCGTGTTCCCAAGGGAATAGACCAAATGCAGATAACAAATATCAGACACTAGTGGGACTTTATCTTTACCTCTAAGTTTAAAGAAACAGGCTAGCTGTCAAACCTGTGGCCCTCTTGCAATAGCATGTGTTGACCAACTGCACTACACCAGCTAGTGACTGGAATCACTTGAAAAAAGCTGCATGTTAACGTGCTCAGAGCTACACGTGTGCAGTAGCTAGCACCAGGAATTACACTGTTGTTCTAAGTTCTGCTTCAGTTGTTGGTGCCACTGCAGGCTGAACACACACCAGTGGATATCTATCTATCTATCTATCTATCTATCTATCTATCTATCTATCTATCTATCTATCTATCTATCTATCTATCTATCTATCTATCTATCTATCTATCTATCTATCTA